TGCTTAGTGTTTTATGTTTAGCATTTGAGTTAAGCAAGACCTTTATTGGAAAAAAATTTCATGTATTCATTCTAAGGTTTTGGGTTTTTCATCAGCATGAAATTCATTTAAGGAGTCTTGTGACTAGTGGACCAAATTGGTTATGCATTATCTGCTGTATCAGTATTTAGATCCTAGATGGCTTGATGGATCATTGTCCAGTTCTTTTCTGGCATCAATGTCTTGACACATCAGTACCTATTTATGATAAAATCTTAACTCATTTGTCAAGTGAACTAGAGTTTTTTCTTTTTCTAATAATTGGAGAGGGGGAGGCATAGGGGTGGGGAAGGCGTCACTAACAATATCTTGATGCTTATGCAAAATGCATCAATGCCTTGGTGGCTTAGCTACTTATTTCCATCGTGGAAGACAAGTTTTCCATGAGTTAATAGGCAAATAAATGATGGGCAAGTGTATCTGCATATGAAGTTTTATAGTAGATTAGTTCCATTCATTCTATATTGTTTATTTCCAATACAAGGTTAAAATACATCTTTGCCTATATGACTAAGCCATTTCCAAGGCAAGACATCATTCCGATGCCATACATCTGCCACTGCACCAGGATGGTGCTGGCTCTAATTCTTGAACCTGTATTTGTATTAAATTCATTGATTCTGATAAGAATCTGAACCACTTCATTGTTTCTCTTATCAGATAAATTTGGAGCTGCTATGACCCTTGTAAAGTCTGATATTGGTGGTAACATTTCAGTAAGATGCTTTTCTTCTTTAATTCCACGTATATGATATACCCTTGCCGGAGGGAATGTAGTTGCTTTCTCCTGTCTGAGCAAATATTCTTATAAAATTACTGGCAGTAACTCCAATTTTTTTAAGATGTTTTGTCATGGATTTTGTAAACTCAGCTTTCCTTATTGCTGCTGCTTCTGATTGTCCCTAGAGATATTTACAGTCAGAAGTCTTTATTGACTGGTGCTTTTTTTTTTTTCTCTTTCAACTATATTTGAGTGCCTGAGCTGTAGTTCTCAGTCTGCTTGGTAAAATTGAGTTTATTTCTATAAATAGTGTCCTTTTCTCTTTTCAATTTTGTGATTCTTGCATTTTGATTCTATACTTACTCTGGATAATGGAATTGGTTTTCAGAGGTTGGAAGCCAAATACGAAACGAATCCATCCAAATATGAACACTTGTATAGTATCATACAGGAAGAGGTTGATGCTAAAACAGCAAAAGGATCATCTAGTTGTACCAATGGTCTTCTTTGGTTAACAAGGTACACAAGCATAAATTTGTTGTATGGATCTATGTATCATTGCACTATTCCTTTCATCAGTGTTGTCAAATTTGATGAACAACATATTATCTTATTAGTTTCCAATTTTTCATGATTTTCAGAGCAATGGATTTCCTTGTAGAATTGTTCCGTAACTTGCTTGGTCATCCCGATTGGACAATGTCACAAGCTTGTACAGACTCTTATGGCAAGACTCTAAAACAATGGCATGGGTGGCTTGCTAGTTCAAGTTTCACTGTATTTTCTGCAACCCTACTCAATTTTTAGTGCTAGCTCATAGCTGTATCTCTCTGATGCCCTCTGTAATATGCTTACAGTACTTCTAAAACCAGTTGATTTAGTGCGTACTGGATTGTAGGTTGCCATGAAGCTTGCACCAGATAGGAAGAAGTTCATGGAAGTAATAGCTG